GTTGGCATGCAACATAAGTAGGAATAAAATATTGTGTATTTCCTATACATTTCATACACATTTCATACACTCACATGAATCATGATAAGGAAAAAACAATTCATGTCTCGTCATCTCTCCCGTCCACTTGGGTGGCTTTAACATCATATATACTTAGCATATCTCCTGGTCCCCATTTCTGTTGGCCAATCCCCAGACATTGTTTGATCAGAAAGTTCTTAACTTTCGCTCCATTGATCCAAAACCAAAAGTTGATTTAACCGTTTTAAAGGATCTAATTAAGTGGAAACCTAGAAATCTTTTGATACATTTAATTTACCCATTCCGTAAAGTTTTCATCCTGTTTTAGTGTGCTATCGCTTTTGCCATGAATGAATCTTGTACAAGGAGAAACTTCTTTGTTTAATTTGTTTAATAAAAGAGTGTGATAAAAAAATAATTTTTTTATATAATTTTTATATGTTATTAAATGAATAAATATATTTAATATTATGAGTTTTAAATGAATAAAAAAAATAATCATTTAAATGATATATAAAATTATATAAAAAATAATTAAAAAAATTATACATAAATCGTTTTTTTTAAATCAAAATTTAAATTTAAAATATCTTATTTATTAAAAAAAACTTTATTTCGTGTTGAGGATATCATAATTAATACTGAGTTGTAGTGTTAATTAAGGTATTGCAATCCGTACCATCTACTTTCACAAGTAAGCAACATTTCTACGAAAAATAAAATGAAAACAATTAAAAACCGGCCATATGATGCGTAAGGAGTTTAGTTCAAGATTAGGGAGCCAAATCCAATGCTAATTAATGGGGACACACTAGCTTCTTGTTTCCTCCTAAGTCCTAACGTTTTCCATATGCTTTTGTTTTAAAATTTAATTACCATATTATATATAGGTGGGAAAACAAAGTCTCTTGCTTAATTTCAAAGGTTACAAAATTTTTTTTTTCTTTTTTTTTTTCTTTTTTACAAAAATTAAAGTTCTTTTTAAATTTTTTGAAAAATAAAAGAAGAACGATTGGAGAGCAGAGAAGGAACAACAGCCGTCACAAAACTTCGTGCGGATCTAATCATGGCACGTGACGAGACATAGAGCGCACACAACAAGACAAAAAACAAAAGTGCGGACCCAGATTCAATGTTAGATGGACCAAAAGCTAAGGGCAAAAAAAGAAAAAAAATTAACAAACACGTGCTCACTCGCCAACAGCAAACCTAACCTGACATTACTGTGACCCAATTCAGAAGTTACTGTCCAGTTGAAGCTCGAAATCTGGGGGCTGTGAAGGAGGAATATCGATGATGGTGCTGTTACTTTAGGATTGGTGCTCAAAAGTAGGAGAAAAGGAAGTGAGAAAGAATGGCATCCATTTTCCGTCCACCACCACCGCAGCCACATAGAAGGGTCGAGGCAAAGAGATTTTGCGGAAAATAAATAAATAAATAAAGAAATATGGGTGATGAGTGGGGTCCATCATCTTTTTTATCTTTCGCAACCACACCCCCACCATCATTGGCGATCAATTAAATAAAAAACGTGAAAGTACTTAAGCTTGTGGTGTTATCACCGCCCACGGTTTTGTTAAAATTATTTAATTTAATTAATATTTTATTAATTTATAATTTTTAAATAATTAATTAATTATCATATTTA